CGTTGCGCTTTGCGTGTGTAGACGAAGCTTTATTAGTACGGTATCCAAAAAAAGTGTAATATACCTATACGTTATAATACTATTTATGTATTCACAAATTATGATTAAATATTTCATTATCATCATTTCAGCCCTTCAAAAGAACCCCAGCTAAACATAAGCGTCGCGTCGGATCTGCTAAACATAAGGAATGTTACTAAGCACAGTCTTAAACCACCTGCATCCATCGACTTCCCTGTATTACTTATCAGGTCGCCACTCTAGTGGCGGGGCCACCCTACTCTTCGCTTATTTCTACAAGGTTACCACTCAAGAACCTTTCTTCCAAATTAAAAAATCCAGTCCATAGATTTTTAATAATTAAGGATTTACTTTGTTTTTGATAGCGATGCATGAACACCGAAATTGTTAAAATACTGAATTATGAGCAATAAATGACGTAACCCATAATGGAACCTGATCAAGGGGAAAAAAGAAAAAGTTGAATGTTAAGTGTTAATTATTTGTTTATTGCACGAAACTATACACAATTTTCCTACAGTAAATGTAGAGAAAGATGATTTTGGAACTAAATGCAGAAGCTATGAAGAATGAGAGTAGTCACTGAACATAAATTGATAATTTAGTTATATTGTAAAATATGCAATAATTATTGGAATCATAAAACTAAGAACTTAAATTATTATGAAGTTCTACTGTCTAGTGCCAGGAACACTCACTGCGTTTCCTCGCATATGTTATATTTATATTATATAAATTCTCATTCGTTACATTAAATTTTAATTAAATAATATTCTATTACTGTCAAATTGCTTGAATTAAACAATTGTTTATCTTTCTTAGTTTTTATTATTAGTTTTATTATAAACTGATTTATTATCATCATGCTCATTGCATTACATGAACTCAACACAGGCTTTTCACATAGAGAGCTCATATTAAGGATATTAACGGTAGTTTTTATCGTAGTTTTATACATGGTAGAGCCATGCTGCAGTTATATTAGTAGTATAGCTGTAGCACGAATGGGTCGGCTCGACCGGGGAAGGACCACGCTCTCACAAAATACTAGCGTAAAATAGCAGCTTAACGCTGCTGTGTTTCGTATGATGAGTGTAGAGATCCGGAGACATATTTTTACTGGAAACGAGGCATTCCATCTTAGTCCTCACGGGTGATAACGTATCTGCATTTTGATTCGTAATCGAGGATAGATGTAGATGTCTAAGAGCTACAGCATCCACTTACCATCAGATGGACTTTGTGCCCGTGCGTCACCTTTATTCTATAAAAAATATACCGTTACACATACCACTGTGTTCCGGTCAATTAATCATCAGGGCTCAAAAGTAACCCCTATTTTGTTTGAAGTTGGTCACAGGTATAGATAGGTAGTAGTGCAGTAGCCAATTACTATCGAGGAAGTCAGCATGTTATTCCATTTAACGTTTTAAGAAGAATAAAGATCTTGTGATCTTGTGTAAGAATTAATAACACCGAGCAAACTCTTTAAAATACTGCAATTATAATTGAAAAACAATTAATAGCTACATTGGGCAATAATTTACCACAACTGGTTTTGATTTCTGGATCTCACAATACAACAGATGGTTACGTTGACAGCCGAGCTACGAGGATAATAAAATGCTACTGTAATACTTGCAGGACTTTAATATGTATTACGTTGATATGTCGTGTTGGCTGCCTTAGATAAGTCGAGTGCCGTTAAGTATAAAATATTTGAAATTGAAATGAAATGTCATTAAGTGTAAACCGAGCGAAAACTATAAACATAAATTGTTAATGCTAAATTGGTATCAGGATTATCTTGTGTAGGTACCAAAGGATACATGAATTGTTGTTATTTCCTGTCATATAAACATTTTCTTATTTTTTATGTTAAGGCATGATACTATCTACCAATTGTTAAAACTAGTTCACAATATTTAAGGCCATTTTTTATAGGAAAGGGATGACAAGCGAGCACACAGTCCACCTGATGTTAAGTTGTTGCTGCGGCCCATATCCTCGATTGCAAATCAAAATGAAGATGCGTTGTCAGCCTTGAGGAAGGACTAAGATGGAATGCCTCTTTTCCAGTAAAAAGGGTCTCCGGTTCTATACACTTACCATACGAAACACAGTAGCATTAAGCTGCTATTTGACGCTGGTATTCTGTGGGAGCGTGGTCCTTCCCGGCCGAGTCGACCCATTCGTGCTACAACTATACAATTAATATAGCTGCAGCATGGCTCTACCACGTAAAAAATATGGCCATATGGAAAAGAAGAAAATAATTATGAATTAAAGTAAAGCAAATGTAAAGTTGTAGCCTAAACTAAGCCTAAACGTTAAATATAAAGCTAACTTGTATGTTACAGTGGTATAGCCACGCTGCAACTATATTATGGCTGCAGCACGAATGGGTTGGCTCAACCGGGGTAGGACCACGCTCTAACAAAATACCAGCGACAAAATAGCAGCCTAATGCTGATGTGTTTCGTATGGTGAGTGTAGAGAACCGGAGACCCTTTTTACTGGAAACGAAACATTCCATCTTAGTCCTCACGGGTGACAACGCATCTGCATTTTGATTCTTAATCGAGGATAAATGTTAAGGTCTATGGGCCACAGCATCCACTTACCATCAGGTGGACTGTGTGCTCGTTTGTCACCCTTGTTCTATAAAGAAAATAACATCCCCAACAAATGACCGAGCATATGAATTATATTTCAAAAAGGAAGTGAACTGTAACAATGTCGGTAAAAGGAAGCAAAAGGCAAGTTGACAAGAGTAACAGGATAGCCAGGTAAGGCAGATTGTTGTAGTCAGAGCATTCACAAAGACGAGAGAGTGAGAGAAAGTGGAGTACCTATTTGTAGGTAGAGGACGTGGAAGAGTCAATGTTTTGATAGATGTAGCACGAATTGGTTGTTTGAATTGAAATTTGATTTGAAATTGATTGTTGAAATTGGAGAAAGCTTGCGCAGCATAAAAGCGTGAAAAAAAAACAACGTAATGCTGCTGTGTTTCGTATGGTGAGCGTCGAGAACCTATACCCATAGATACCCATTTAACGAGATGTTTGATCTTGATTCTCAGAGGCGGCAACGCATTTTGACTCTTAATCGTGTTTATGGGCCACAGCAACCACTTACTGCCTGGTGGACTGTATGCTTGTTTATTACTCTGAATTCTATAAAAAATTTGGAAATTTTACTTTTTTGCTTTTGGAACTAGGAAATAATAAATAATGTCGATATTAGGACATTTTGCTTCTGAACCAGGCATCACTATGAGAAATAAACTTTGCATTGATTAAACGCAGATGATTCTTGGATTTCATATGTAGTACAATATAGCATAGTTAATGGACTCTTTTATGTATGTATATATATATATATATATATATATATATATATATATATATATTTATAATACACATATGTATTATATTACTACTATGTAATATCTATTAAAACTTACAAGGGATCCATTCTAACTTTAATTTTTTAAATCATCGCTAAAAATTAACATATTTTAATTAGTTTCTTAGAATCGTAACAACTAATTTAAATTGTTTGATATGTTTTTAATATATGTATAATATTATGAGTATAAAACACAAACATAGATTTTTGTGTTTGATAAGTGATAACGCAAATGATTCTTGGCAGTCTTAAATAGATTGGGCATTACTCTTACACAATTATGAGTACTTGTTCTGCTTATAGAGGTCATTAGTGCTACTTATGAATAACAAAGGTAGTCATAGCTTATGTTAGATATATGCCCGAGATTTGCGAAGTGAAATCACATTTCTAATCGTGCATTTAATACGCTCGATTTAAATTTCAAATGAATTTAAGCCCGGTCCGTTATAAGATAATTTTTTACGATTTCAATTCCAGCACAACTGAGTAATATAAAAAAAATTAAAGTCTTTATAATGCACTATAGGTAATCTAATCACGTTCAGTCTATTCTAAGCGTCGTGCTTTACTCATAACGGGGTCCTTTTGTGGAATAATTGGATTTTGGTAGTCATGATGAGATAGTTATGCGGAGAAATAACAATTTGCGTTTCGTAGTAATACAAATAAACTATTGTAGAAATGCGTGATTAGGGGTTTCGATAGACTATATTCTCTCTTCGCTTGATATCTTGATAAGCAACATGGTATCGGTCAGCAAGGTGTAGAGTGTATCTCCTCAATAGATTTAGTAACGACCTGGTAAGACATACTACGACTACGTACTTTTGTGCCATTTTTGAGGGCCTATGTTCAGCTGTGAAGGACCGTAATGGATGTAATATAAAAAAATCTATGCTGTTATTTAGCGAGTTAAAGCATACATTTTTAATTTTTATTTTAAACAAAACGTTACCTAAAGACGAATCCAGAATTGAAAAGTGTTACAAATAGTTTTTACGGGAATTCAAACATGCGGTCCGAAGTGATGCAGCCAATCTTTTAATCAACGCGATAATGAGTCGTCAAATAAATATACTATAGAGGAAGCTCTTATTTAATTGCATGTTTCTAAACGATAATTTCACGAAAGTTGTCGAAAAGGATAGCATAAATTAAAATTTAAATAAGACCAATGGTACCTGCCAAAGTTCACGAGTTTTCTCGGAACTACCCACAAGTTAACCTAGATAGATTTCTATGGGGAACTATGATATGGAAGACGTAGAATTTATTGTAGTTTTATTTAATAAGCCGACTAATATTTGTGCAGAAAAATCGACACTGTTCCGTATAGACGAGTCGTGGCGAGCGATTCCGAGTAGCGATAAGGCATGCCAAATGAACCGTATACACGTTGGTACTCGTCTGCACTCGGTCAGCTAGGCAAGCGAAGATAAAAGGACCACATTGGTACTCGCCTTCACTCGGCGAGCTATGGCTAACATGAATAGCCGGCTCAAGAAGACAATCAGTTGGAAGTCATAGATTAAAAGAAAACAAATTTAATAAAGTTAATTACTCACCGTCGTAATACTCCTCCTAATAAGGACGCGTTCAAACATTCGGGCGGCGATAACCGCCTCTGCACCTCGGCGACTGTCACTTTGTACTTGCTGGTAGAAGACAGTAGCGACAGGCGGCCAGGTACAGAGCAGAACACGTCGTTCGGTGCACACGAGCCAGTGCCTCCCAGTCCGTCGCGCCCTTTCATTGCTTTAAAAAAGTTGATAACCTATATTAATAAAAAAAAATGCCGCATGCATGAGAACGGCTGAGTCGATTTTGATAAAAACATTAATTTGTGTGTTTGAGTCCTGGATGTCTTAGATTCACAAATGGGCCGGTAAGTGGCGCTGTTTTCGAGATCCAGAAATCATCTCTGCTTTCATAAAAATGAACTTTATGACCAAAATGCAATGAATATCAATTTGTATCCTTTTACCATTAAAACCTCAAGAAAACATTCAATGAAGTGCTTAATTTCCGTGGCAAAAGCTAACAACATAACTCAACTCATCATTTGTTCCATTAGAAACCATTGCATTATTCGTGTTTGTCACCAGCAATAATTTATTTCGCAACTTGAATATTTTTACCATTGATTTTATATACGTTTGAGGAAAAATAGAAATATTTTTTTATTTGTAGTCGGTTGGAATACGTGTGATTACAAAATACCCGGCTTCAAATATCAACAATGGCAACGTTAACAATCACTGCCACGCCCCAAACATGCGCTCAGCGTGATCTCTATTCACATTGTAATATTTCTATATGGCAACCCTAATACAATAAACATTACTATGTCATTAGTATAGCACCATACTGCTTATTTCACACCGTAAGATATTTTCAAAAACGCTTTTATTACCAGCCAATTATAAAAACGAATTCAACTAAAAAGTCAGAGTCTACCATATAATATAACTTTTAAAATAAAATTAACTTATTTTTCCTGTAAAAGATTGAGTTAAAATAATATAGATAAATCTGTTTCGAAAGTATGTTAGGAAATAACCAGTATTTTCATTTCAATGTAAATACTTGAGCCAAACAAATTTCAAAATTGAGATTAAATTAAATATATTGTTGCCAGAGGATACTAGTACTATCAAAATTTCTTATTACGCCTCCGTTGAAATTGGTAAATGAAATATTAAGTCCTGATTGATCACTTTCTCAACGTTTACGGAAAACATCGCGAGGAAAACCGTGTGTTTGAGAACTTAAAAATAGAAGACATGTCTACTAACGCGTATTGAGAAAAATCGTTGCATGTTTGTTTGCTCTAAAATCATATTAGAAACGAGTGGAAGGAGGCCTGTAGGATGTAAATAAGGCTGTCACTACCTAAACTTCATTCATTGCTATAAAATAAAAACTTTTATCAATAATTTTCGAGTAGTTTAAAAAAATGTTGCATAGCGCTTGAAAGTAAACACATATTTTAGGATGTGCTTGTTTTTTTATTTTATCTCTTTCTGTTAACTGTTCTAGAATATTTGTTATGTGTAAAATACATTTTCTATAAATTAAATTTCGATGCGGGCAGAGCCACACGCCGCTACGAGTTTTAAAGTTATGAATATTAGTAGGCGAGATGTCTTAACGACTCTCATTTTCAAATCCGAACACACAATTTAAATATGGAATGATTGATCGTTTCTTTTATTTATTTGATATTGATTTATTCAGCCGTTGAATGAGATGGGCCTTTTTTACAATCTACTTAGAAAAATCGATACACCTATACGATAAGTTCGGTATGAGGCCTAATTACTGCCTTATCTTAGGCGGGTCATCAGTATGAGAGTAACAATAAAAATATTTGATAAGTTAATAACATGTACTTATCAGACTGATGTTCGTGCGATTTAAATTGAGTACACGAGTTACGGTCGGGAAAACGGTCTACTTATATTCCTTTTTTTTAAATTGGAATAAATTTGACAATTAGGCCAGTTCAGCAGATGCTATGGGAGCTTTGTGGGCCGTATATTTTTATCTATTCCTATAGATATATATTTAACAATGGAATGTCTCGTCCCCATTGATCCGGTTCTTACCACAAAAATGCGAAACTTAGTATAACTTAGCGGTGCTTATGCTGGTAATTTATCCTTATCCTTTAAGTACCTCGTAAGGGACGACATTGAAATTGTATCATTCGTTAGTCCGTTCAAAATGGAAAAAAATATTAAAAATATAAGCCGACTTCAAGCATCTGAAAAGAATAAAATACATAGCCAGTATAATAACAGGCTGAAAGGCATTCCATTTTTAGTAGTGACAGCGCAACTGTAACCTATATTGTTTAAAGTTGATTGCAGATGTCCTTGGACTCCAGTAACCACTTCCATCAGGTTACTTTGAGTTAGCTTATCATTTCATTTTGGTGAAAAAAATACGGTTCTAAAGAAGGTATAAGTTTGCCGGACTAAAAGAGAACTCACTATACTTTTTTTTTTATAGTATAGGGTGACAAACGAGCACACAGTCCACCTGATGGTAAGTGGTTGCTGTGGCCCATAGACATCTACATCTATCCTCGATTACGAATCAAAATGCAGATGCGTTGTCACCCGTGAGGACTAAGATGGAATGCCTCGTTTCCAGTAAAAAGGGTCTCCGGTTCTCTACACTCACCATACGAAATACAGCAGCATTAAGCTACTATTTCACGCTGGTATTCTGTGAGAGCGTGGTCCTTCCCCGGTCGAGCCGACCCATTCGTACTACAACCATAATATAGCTGCCGCGTGGCTCTACCACTTAAAAAATGCAATAAATAATACTGCAATAAATAACTTAAATAAAATATAAAAAAAACCCGAAACAAAAAAGCTGATGATCTTCAAGCGGCTGAACCGATTTTGATAAAATATGTCTAAGAACCACCACTAGAAAACCTGATTTTAAATGAATAAAAAAACCGGAAGCAAATCGGCTACCCCGTTTAAGAGCTAGAGTGCCACAGACAGACACACATACAAACAGCCACACACACATAACGGTCAAACTTATGACACTCCCTATCGTCGGGGATTAATAATGAGTAAATTTTTATTTTTTCGAAAATCTATTATGTGCTAACAACTTCGAAGTTTATTTCTTTACTCAGTCATATAATGCCGTTATTTCTCTGATTATAATGGCTGGAATAAAGTACCACGAATATTGGAGATAATAAACATAGGGAGAATAGACTAGACTGCGGAACGACTACGCTTTCTCAGAATACCAACTTAAAATATCGGCATATCACTGCTGTTTCTTTTGATATATGATGAGAAGTGGAAGCTTTGGAGTGAAAACTCATCTGAATTATGATTTTTAACAGAATATAGATGTCTATGGACCACCACATCCACTTATCATCGAGTAAAATGTGATTATTATCCTCACTTTTATTTAAAAAATTATGTGTTTAATTGTGTACACACAAACGAAGTTAAACTTCTTTACGACATATAATTTAATTTTTTTTACATTAGTAGGTATAATAATAATAATATTCACACGCACTCCGGAAGGTGAATCGTACAAGAAGATGTAACAAGAAAATGTGACGTTTTTGATTTTTAATACCGCACAAAATTACTGCACTACATTGATAAATTTCACTTCGGAAATGTGCATAGGCGATTACGAAAGAAGAAAGTTGCTCAAAAGATTTTTGGGACTAGGAGTTGAAGTCGTATTCCGGCGTCTGTTTTATTAATGCCAGATTACTGGAGTATTTCATGAATTAATTTTCCAAGCAAACAAGCAATAGCGGCGAGATATAGATCAGTCATCCCGAAGAGTTTTTGCCCGCTTACGAGTATGTTTCCATTGGCGTTAATCATTTAAGTAAACATTACAAGTGTGTTTAAATTATAAATATGTTTAAATTATAAATATGTTTAAATTTTCGCATGCTGTAGTTAAATTCTTATTTTAAAACAAGAAAACATTGCTTAGTTACAAAAACCGTAAAAAATAAAGTGTATACTTTGAACAGTTGGGTACATGCCTCTTCTCGTTTGCAAGAGAGTTATTGAGCAATTACTCCGATGGCCTGCTCCAGTACGTTTTGGCGGACTTTAATAAAAATTCTCCAAGGATATGTTACTTGGAGCATTTTTATTCCTCAGGTTTCATCACTATGTTTTTATTTACCACTGAGCTCGTTGTAAATCAGCATTTAAAATTGCAATTAACGATATGATTTGGGGAGTAGATAGGTTGTCAATTATTCATTTCTCGTGACCGAATCATTCTAGTACATTTCGTCACGCGTACCGGTACATTCGGATCGATCATTCAGATGGGACATATCGGGCTCCTGTCTCTCTCTGTAAGTCTCTGTAAGTCTGTGAGGTACATTGGGAACCGACATTGTACCAAAGAAAATGACCCTTACCTACACTAAAAACAATTCATCCAGATCATTCGGGATTCGCTCGATTTTCGACTCATTCAAAATTCACACCAATCACAAGTTAAAAAGGTTCCGTCAATTGTTTGTGATTGGTTGTACCGGAACATTAAAAAACAGATGAATGAACCATCAGTTCTTTTAAGTGTACCAGCTCAAACGAACGAATCATTCATGATTGACACATGTCTATCGGAGAAATATTTCCCATAGTTGCCACGCTTGTCGCGGGGATTGGCAACCGCAGTTTTTTATTGTAATATTGCTGTTATTAGAAAGATGCTGCTGATCATCTCATGTGTTAGTTTCCCTCTGTCACCTCTTACGACACAGACGGGAAGATATAGGGTATTCTTACACCGCCACTACACGGTACATGATAAGAGTAATGAACATACAGTCGATGAATGCAGGTGACTTATGACCGTGTTTTGTGGCATTCTTTGAGGAGGCCTATGTTCAGCAGTGGATTTATGAAGGGTTATAATGATGATGATGATATTATTCGCGTCGACAAGAATCAAACCAATTTGCTTGCATACTGTAAAATTTACAACAACCGCTTAGCCCCTGAGTACCACGACTTTAAAAATATCGTATTAGACAAAAAAATCACAGTTATTTTGTTTTTATTTACATAAAATTAACATTGCTTGGATTCCTGTTTTGTATTTGAAAGCCTAGACAATGCCGATACTCCGTCAATAATTGAACATGAAATAGATGTTCTCTGCTACCAACATTTGATTAAAATAACAATCTGAAAATTGGGATAATTGAATTATAAATTAGTTAGTAATTATTGTTTCTGGTATTTTGGGCATTTCTGGGGGAGTACTCTGTTCTACTGGAATTGTGATATGTATGTGTTCGTAATGATGATGAACATGATAAATCGATTTTTGGATTTCCCTGTTTGTATTCCTGTTTCTTGTTCACACACATAGTGTTCGTTTACGTGATAAGATAACAGAATATATAGTATGTGAGGGTAATATGATCACTTTCTTATAACTTAAAAACTACAGCCTTGTTTGCATAGATAGCTCTGTGATACGATACCTCGTCATCAGTCAATAAAATAATAAATGGTCAAAAGGGCGTTGCTTTCTCGACGCAATTTTGACAGTTGACATTACAGTAAATTATTAGTATTTTAGTCGATTTTAATATTGTTTAGTTAAGTTAGTTTTTTTTAGTTGATTTTTCGAAGTGTTTCTAATTATTGCTGAGGCTTGTTTATTATTTTTTCTTAATATATTAGTCTATAACTAGTTATAGTAAGTATACGACTTTGTGTTTTTGTCTCTGTCCTTTTCCTGGTTTTGGTTTTATAGGGCGACCAAGCTTAAGTTGACCATATTACCCTCACGTACCTTATAATAGTACTATAATAAAGTTATGTTATTTTCAGTTGACACTAAGCCCCACTGATGGCAAATGGCACTTGCGGTGCACCTGTTACCAGTTTTAAACAAATACCATAGATGCGTTGGCTGTAAATATATCACCAAATCGGCACACATCATTGGATGTAGGTAAAACAATGGTATCTACCCAGATGGACTTCTGAGCAGCAAAGAACCTTATAGTAACGGATATGTTGTCAATTCTGAAGACTACGCCTCGCAGCCCGTAATTATGATTATCCTAGAAACCGGACTACCGTTTGTTCGATCTCAAAATATTAAGGCTATGGATTTTTATTTAAACTAAACTATAGGTAAAAAAATTACATTAGTTTTTGTTGCTGACGCTACTTTAAACTCGAGTTTTGTATGAGTCGACAGAAATAATCGATACGATATCACTTTGCTCATACCGCGTCGGTGTGCCCGTTCAGAAGTAATTATTTATTTACTGTATTGCAATGAAGGTTTTTTATCAAACTTTTTCTTTAGTCGATTAAAATTATCTTGTTTTTAAAGCACATGATACGGAAAAAAATACTACATAGAAAAACTGCGCGATGTGCGACATTTTGTATGCGAAATAATAATATATTCTTTTTTATAGAATATACCAGCTTGCTAGGCAGACGTTGTTTTGCCCTTTTAGACGACCCTTTGTCATGTCCTATTAAAAATACTTAAATTAGCAAAAAAAATTGTTGGTCACTCATGGGCAAAAAATTATCCTATCTCTCAAGTTGGACCAAACTGCACACGGTGTGCAAATTTGATTAAAATCGTTTAAGTAGTTTAGGAGTCCATCGCGGACAAACAACGTGACACGTAATTTATATATATTAAGATTATACGCCTTTTTCTACACAAACGAGCATAAAGTCCACCTGAGAATAACTGGCACAGGCACAGGCCGCCTCTCACTTCTGGGAAGGTTTTAGGGCAAGGAAGTGCGCGTCGCACTGCGTGTTTTCGATTTTTTTTTAATTTCTAAGACATGCAGCTTTCCTCACGATGTTTTCTCTCAGCGCCGATCACGTGGTAAATCAGCACTTAAAGTAGCAATCAACAATTTCATCGGTGCTGGCGGGGATCGAACTCGGCGTACTGTGAAATTTACAGCAAGCACTAAGCACCTGAGCTACCACGGTTCTTAAGTCTTAATCAACGATAAATATAGGTGTGTGCCTATTGGGCCATAGGCCAAAGCGTTCAATCATCGTTAGTGAACTGTGTCCTTATTTAGTTACTCTTATTTGTAAAAAAAAAATTAACTGTTAAAAATAATTGGTGTAGCACAATATGCATACTTACTTTTTAATAATGGAAGATCTGTCATGAATCCCGTTGTGTCGTCCATGCCGGCATTCTTAAACAAGAAAACAAAATAAGTAAACAATGCAGTATTTTTTCATATGGGTATGTTATTTTTACCTTATTAAATGGAAGAATGGACAAGCAATATTCAGAAAATATTCTATAATGAAGAGTGGCGGCCGATCGCCTATTTTAATATCCATAGCTTATTAAATTCCTACAGGGTAGCAGAAATGTTTCTTAAATATTTATTTACATATATTTACATACAATCAATAATTGAATATTTTCATATTATGTTCTACCTACCAAAAATTTGATATACGTATCTCAAATTTTATGTTGTCTTTTAGCGTTGATTATTTAGTAAAAATATTTCCTTTTTTTTGATAGATAGTTAATTTATACCTACGTTATGATTTTTTTGCAACGCCGGTAAAATATTACTAAATGTAGAAATACAATTTGTAATACATATTAAGTATTAAGACATTGTATACTCAGTGAACAAATAAATATTTGAATTCTTGAACATACACTTTGCAACGTGATAGAGTCACACTGCAGCTATATTATGGTTGTAGCACGAATGGGTCGGCTCGACCGGGGAATAATCTAATGCCGCTACGTTTGGTATGGTAAGTGTAGAGAACCGGAAATACTTTTTACTGGAAACGAGGCATTCCATCTTAGACCTCTGGTGTGACAATGCATCTGCATTTTAATTATTATGATAGACATCTACATTTATGAAAAATAAATGTAGATGTCTATGGGCTAAAGCATCCACTTACTACCAGGTGGACTGTGTGCTCGTTTGTCACCCTTATTAAGTTATCGTTGATCCAAAGATAATAATAAGTATGTAATATTTATAATCGATACTAATTATTTATAATCTATACTATATTGAATAAAAATTACTCTTTTAACTTAATTTTATTCAAAAATAGGAGGCGGTTTATAAACTATACAATTTTTTGTGTATATTACACGATAACTTCATCATTTGTGAAACGAATTTAATGCTTATAATTAATTAATTAAATAAGTTATATTTTAGCGGTGGTCCCATATTTTGGAGAATTTATTTCACCCTTGAGAGTGGAAAAATAGAGGAAGATTTTTTTAAATTTTATAATTTATTATATTTATAAATTTTATAATTTAAAAAATTCTTCCTCTACATATTTATTTATGTAATTATTTAGACGACTTGCTAGCTATTATCTCTAGCTTTTCATATTCTTAAGTCACTTAAACTTATAATAAAAAGTAAGAGTCGACTTTAAAAACTCGGTGCTAAGCAGAATATAGAAGATCCAAAGCCTCGGCTTCAGAAGTTATTATGAGAATTTTTTTTCAGTTCTTTGAAGTCGATTTAAACATTTTATTAAAGTTGGATTTTTCTATTTAATCGAAGGTATTATCGGTTACTTTTCGAGTGCACTTTTTTCCGCCATTAATTATGCAGCACGAGGTATGCTGGCAGGTGTCAAATAAGGTGTGGTCGCAGAAATCAAATAATGTATACATCAAACTGCTTACATAGCTGATGAGAAGTAGGAGAAAGGAAACGAATATAGATCAAAGGAAGCTCACCTGTGTCTCTTCCGTCGAATGTAACGCATGGTGTAATGCCAGTTCGTGTTGTTCTCTTGCTCCATAGTCCGCGCGTCGCTCGCCGCCACCATAACCGAAACCGCCATGAGATAACTGTTATAGCATACAAAATTATATTTCACCTTAAGATATTATTAAATGCTCGATATCAATCACGGACACTTTTTTATAACGTCACCCCAACACTAGGATTTTGCCCTGTATAATGGAGGGAGTTTACGTACATAAATTACACAAAGACAAAGGTCTAGACCTGGGACAATTATTTGTAGGCCATAAATATACTTGTTCCTTGCAGGATTCTAACCCGAAGCCCTCATCGCCGCAGCTCATTCCTAAGCCACTGCACCGCAGGGTCGTCAACTTTGTTTAGAATGTTATGATTTTGCAACATACTATCTCCAACACTATTTTTTAAAATATATAGGTAAGGTGGTGGTTACCCGGACGGACTCTTAGGCACAGAATGAGTCCTATCACCTTGAATAAAACTAAATTTACGGATTTTATCGCGTTTAATTAACTACTCTTACTTATTTTTAATTCCCAACGTTTCGGGTGCTTTACAACACCCATGGTCACGGGGGACTGAGATGTTTGACGTCCCCATGTCATAGTTAGCCCGGCTGCCTTCAGTTTGAGTTAGAGCTTACAATATCTTGAAGTCTTGCAGTGACATGCTTGGGTTTAGGTTTAATTTTGTTAATTATAGGATCCCAAGCAGATGGCAGTACCCATCCATCTTCTCTATTGAAATTAGGATGTTTTAAATAAATGGTAATAAAGGTCCACCGGCTGCTTGATCTTCATAGTACGCGAGGAAGCCAAATTCTATAATCGAAGTCGGCTTAACTATTTTTATTTAATTATAATGTTAAACTTACAGCCTACTGCTTGGCCTCCCCTCATTTCTGAGGGGCTTTTTAAGGGTACGGAGATGTCCGCGGCGTTTCGAATTTCACATATCTTCTAAATATTTTTTTTATTTCACTAACATGCAGGTTTCCTCACGATGTTTTCCTTCATCAGCACGTAGTAAATCAGCATTTAAAATCACAAAAAATCAATTTGATTGGTGTCGGCGGGTATCGAACCAAGTTGCTCGCGTATTGAGCTAGCACGGCTCGATTATAAATGTACTGTTTCAAATTTCAATTTACTTTCTTTTTGCTCGGTGCTTTAGAAAATGATTGAGAAGATTCAAAATAACGATTGGCAATTTTAAATAATTGCTTGCTAGCTGGCGTATTGCTGAAAAGACTAGAAAGGGCGTCGATTCCAATGTCAGCGTTTTCTTTTCTTTTAGTAACGTATGTTTGAGGTTAGTTCTAGAAATGTCTTATGGTGTCCGATAGATGGCGGTTAAACCATCTCGTTAAACTTTACCTTTACCTTTAAGGTACACTGCTGAACATAGGCCTTTCTCGTAGATTGCCTTATATTGAGGATATTTGACATACTTACGATGCTTGGCCAGCAGGTTGGCAACCGCAGGTATTTATTTTTGTTGTTATTAGGAAGATGCTGCTGCTTTGATTTGATTCTGATCTGATTCTCTCTGTCACCTGTTACGACACGCACGGGGTGATATGGGGTGGGGGATATTCTTCTCCGCGTCAACACGGCGCTGTACTTACGGCATGTAAAATACCCAGACTGGAGACTGGCTATTTCCTGCGTTCGCTCGTCGTTCTATATCCTTATCATATCTCCCATCCCTGCTAAATACGCATCCCAAATATATAAACTCATCTACTTGCTTGATCAATTCTCCTTCTATTCTTATTTCACATATCGTTTTACTTTCTTCTCTTTCAAAAACCATAAATTTCATCTTACGTTCACTTTCATACCCCTTTCGTTTTATGATCTGTTTATTAATGTAACCATCATTTGCAACTCAGCCGCCGATGATGCAAGAATAACTAGATCATCGGCGTACAGAAGGCATTTGACGGTTAACTCACTATTCTTAACCCGCATTCTTCAACTTTCAAAATTTTTAAACAACTGTCCATAAATAGGTTGAACAGCCACGGGGAAGCGATACAGCCCTGTTTGATCGTAATTAATCCGATATTCAAATGTGGTAGAGCCATGCTGCAGTTATATTTGTAGTAGCACGAATGGGTCGGCTCGACCGAGGAAGGGCCAAGCTCTCACAAAATACCAGCGTAAAATAATAGCTTAATGCTGCTGTGTTTCGTATGGTGAGTGTAGAGAACCGGAGACCCTTTTTACTGGAAACGAGGCATTCTATCTTAGTTCTCACGAGTGACAACGCATCTGCATTCTGATTTGTAACCGAGGATTGATGTAGATGTCTATGAGCCACAGCAACCACTTACCATCAGGTGGAGTGTGTGCTCGTTTGGCACCCTATCATATAAAAAAAATTCATGCTCAAATGCATTGCCCTTACAAATTTAAAAAAAGAATCGTATGTATATCTTTATTAAAACTCGTTGCTTACATAAATCGACGTTAAATCATAAAATGTCATTGAGTTTCCCTCCAAAAGAGTATTGTATAGAGAATTCCGTTCAAAAACCGGACTCGGAGCATTAGAGCGGCTAATCTTTTAAAGTGGGAGGGACCGCACTAACATTATACTCATAGCCTATTGTTGCCCTAAGAAAGGCTCTTTGCTTTATTGATATTTCTTGATAAATAAATTTATTGATTGCAGAGTTAAAATTGCAGAAGTTAGGAAAACATGTTAGTTTTTCTAATCTCCCAATGTAATTTATTAATTTTCCTGATTAAATAATAACAATAAAAAACTGGTGTTGCCAACCTGCCAGTCAAGCGTGCTAAATATGGCCAAACCTATATGAAGTAATATTTGGAGGAGGAGGCCTGATTGTCAGGGAACTTTGAATGAATGGAAAAAAAACCAAACTGGATCATTAATTAACCTTAGTCTATAGGACGCGGATGGTAAAGAAAATATAAATGTGTTGATAACCAGTTTTTGCCGCCATTTTAGATCAATTAGTAGTTATTGCCAAAATAAAAATAAACTATTTAGAAATTCATGATTTTGAGTCAGTTATTAAAATATGATTTATGGGAACATTTTAACAGCATTGATTTAAATGTAGATTATTATTTAAATAAGAGCGTGTGTTTGATTGATGTTATATACCTTAAAATTTATTTGGATTTTCTTGGTGTGTTTACATATACTTACTTATTTCACGCGGTAAAGCCATGCTGCAGCTATATTACAGCCGTAGCATAAATAGGTCGGCTCGATAAGGCTTTAACAGAATACCGGTGTAAAATAGCAGCTCAATACGGCTGTGTTTTGAATGGTAAATGTAGAGAATCGGAGACCCTTTTTACTGGAAACGAGTTATTCCATCTTAGTCCTCATGGATGACAACGCATTTTGTTGATGTCTATGGGCCACAGTATCCATTTACTATCAGGTGGACTGTGTGCAGTAGTATTTATTAATAGAAAAATTTCATAATATGTAAATGTAAAAGAAAAATATTGTAAAACATCAGTGACATAGGCTTCTATTCCGTTCACCTGTTACACCCTATTTTTTCCAGATGGTAAAAAAGATCATCCAGTAAATGAATTTGTTATATACTACATATAATTATTATAGTAAAATTTGAATTAAAAACAACTTTGTGTCTACTTTATTTCTTAGAACAGGCGTGAGTGTTTATGTTTATGTATTATATTTCTTAGATAATCAATTATTTAATGATCTATGTCTATAAACAAATATGATAGAAACATATGCTATAAATTTAATCACATAATTATTTCGCCGTTAGGTCGACGTAAATCTAAGAAACTATTCGAAGACTGTTTATAAGGGGTGCACGCATTCTCATGGCGAGGGGGCGAATACTTGCAGAGTTTTGATTATGAATCGATACTCACTCGAATACTTAGATATAATAATAATCCTATACCTTTAAACGAGCAATTCTTGTATATATATATATATGTAATCGGAATCTCGGAAACGGCTCCAACAATTTTCATAGAATTTGGCGTCTAGGGAGTTTCGGAGGCAGTAAATCGATCTAGCTAGGGTTTATTTTTAGAAAATGTCTTTTTGTCCGTGTTTTCAGGCAATGAAAAACCGCTACAATATAAGAAGGTAAATTTTGACACTGTAAATGATCGTATTTGCTCAAGTGGATATCGAGCGGTCGCGAATTCGCGTCCTGTCTTCAGTCCGACTTTTTTTACCTTTTTTTTCAAGTTCCCTTCTTTTGTGAGAAAATCTGATGTTTCGAGCCCTTTTTTTAGTATTTTTTTGAAACACAAAAATTTAAATAAAACTAATTGCAGTCATGATTTTTTATTCAAATAAACAGTTTCGTTTTTTCTATTATGTCGGTAAGATCAAAAAATATTATTCATATTTCATCAGTATGTAATTTGTATCTAAATATAATTTCCGAAACACACGATTTCTAAAAAAATACCGAGCAACAGCTCGGTCATCCAATTTTATTATGCTCTCAGTTTGACAAATTACACTTGTGTATAGTACATATCATATTTAATCACAAAACTAAATTTCGAATCAGTTAGCGTTCACGGGCATACTAATATAATCTGTGTTACCGCCGTCAGCGTCTTCCACGCTGAGTTGTGCAAAACAAAAACAGCATATCGTTTGGAAATAAAATTACAATATTATTTCAGCACGTTGTCACTTTGATACCCTGTCACTTTAGTGCCAACTTAACAAAAATATTTTTGTTTAAACCAGAGTAGGTAATAAGAAACCGTGAATATCATAAACTCAAGTATAAATACAAAGTGGTGTGATGGATTACCAAAGCTCATAGTAATTAGTCTGACCATTTAGTGGCGATGTAAGAATATCCACTACGTCATATTATCTTCCCGTAGGTGTCGTAAGAGGCGACAGAGTGAAACTGAAAGAAGATGAAGATTTTTTTTTTTTTTTATTTAATAAAGTTTTTAAAAATATTTTTTTTATTTTAATAATTTCAGTGTGTTCATCTTGCTAATAACAACTTCAAATAAAAAAAAACTGCGATCACCAAAGCACCTGCAAAGCGTGGCAACTATGGCAAATATCACCTCTATAAGGTAATATTTAGGGGAGGCCTATGTTCAGTAGATTTTAATAGCCTGTAAGAGGTGGAATGGATTGCAATTAGTCGTCTATATTCTGAGATGTTAGTGCTGCTAGCCGTTTGGTTTGTACAGCTTGCTTCGCCTCAACGCCATTATCATTGACGCTGGTGTCAATGAGGCTGCTAATTCCAGATGTACTGCTCTGGTGGTCAGACACGTAAATAAAACACCCCAGCGTTTTTCGTGTCGCCTTCCTATAGTCACACTCATAGGTCCGAAATAATCCAAGGCTGAGCATGTAAAAGGTGGTTCATGATGAGCTATTCTCTCCAGAGGAATATTTCCTTGTGGCACGTTCTGACCCAGAATTAAAGCCCTGACGGAATTTATTTATTCGATAAACTATGTGTGACCATCGACTTCAGAAGCTAATAAGTTATATGGAAATTATTGTATCCTTTTCAGTTGTTTGAAGACCGTTTTTACTTCTTTTGAACGTTTAATAGTCACTTGTCCTTATATATTATCGAGAATTTGGTTATTGTCTGGAGTCTACAATATCATATAGCTAGTCCCGTGAAATAGCAGTTGCGGTCGGTATAAATATTTTCACATTAATAGTCATAAAGCTAATTTGTAGATCCTAGATTGGTATCAGAGCTGGGACCAACATTTGTGCAATAACTCAAATTGGTTGATTTTGGGGTAGTGTCTGATATTGCATCTGAGCATATTACGTCCGTTATATCGCATAGCATTACGTCGGGCATGGATAAGTTCATCATCGTCATCATTACGGCCTTTCCAACCAAGTCCAATGCTGGACATAGGTTAATGTGGTTAAGAGTAACATTTATAACATTATAATAATTCTTGCTTAAATATTGCGTAAAGAATTAATAACATATAACAGGCTATCCTTGTAGCTCAGAAAGTCAACAATGGATGTGGAAAAAACGTTATCTCATGTAGCAACCTCGTATAGTGAAGCGACCTGGTAAACATGCGGGAAGTCGATTGATGCCGGTGGATTTATAGTTCAGCCGTAGTCTTGAGAGGAGCTGTGATGATGACGAAAATAATAAATCTTGCTCAGTTCACAAAATTGAACAGACTAGAGGGATATCATAACCGTAGTCATTTATTTGAAAAAGAAATAATACTCACGTGATGCGTATGTATGGCGTCGTGATGGTCTCGATGGTGTCGCAGATGCGCGTGGGGCTCGTGGTGACCGTGGTGACGTGGGAGTAGTTGCTGTGGGGCGTAGTGTTGCGCATATTCTGCACCCCCACCACCCCCGCTGCCATATTCCATACCATGGCTCTATAGGTAGAATTGTTTTTTTAATTTAATTTCGACGAAAGACAGTCTTATTCCTACATATTGCTAATTGGGAATTATTACAATTTGGCAATATAGCACGAACTGATGCCCGATTATCATATTCAAGAAACGTCAAGTTTTCCGTCACGAACCGTTTTATGCACAGAAATCGTAATAATGTGGTTTTATGATATCTGAAGTGAATTGAATATATAACAAACTATTCATTCGGAAATTTACATCTTTAAATGACACAAATTTAAGCCTTTGTATGTAATATGTTCGAACAGTTTATTAAATGATTTTTTGTCACTTTCAGCATAGTAGAACAATACTAATGTTCAACCAGTTATCTCATATTATTTTGCACTTTCTGCACAGTAGAACTAGTCGTTGAGGAAGACGACTTGTTCTTATTGTACATAAGTCGTAGAACGAGTCGTTTTTGAACACAGAAGTCAGGTATGAACGGATATAAGCATTTGATTTTACCGATGTAAAAAAGACGATTATCTTAACATGTCTTCATGTTGCACCGTTGCTGCGTTGAAGAGGGACAAAAATACATATAAAAACTTATGTTTTTATAATATTGATAAATAAAATTAATAATTAAAAAAATTTATGTATAATTATATAAGTAATAGATATCTATCTATTACTTAGTTACATTTCATACAGTTCATGTGAGGATGCATAATTCTTTCTCTTACAAATCATACTGCACCTCCAAATTAGTGGTTTTTGCTTACTTATAGGTGGACTGGTAGAAAACGCCTTAAGGCGTTAAGTCTGCCTTTGTACATTTTTGTGCCACAACGTTTAAATAAAAAAATAAATATTACTAATAACATATATTGTTGTTTATCGTTACCTGTTGTTGATGATGCGGGCTGGCTGGGTGTGCTGTAGGGGCGAAGGGCGGCGGGAAGTATGGCGGCTGGAAGTCGGCAAGCGAGGGCTGCGCGCCTCCGCGGAACCCGCCGCCGCCGAGCCCCAGCCCTCCGCCTCCCAGGCGCTCCTGTGGTTATAAACGAAGTTAGAAGAATTTGTATAAAAGACTGACGTGAAAAATAGCAAAATTTGCAGAAAAAAGAAAAGTAAGTATCACATTAATGGATGGTTCTTCTAATGATAGTACTCTTCCGATAAAAGTTATCCGTTAATTAAATTATAACCTGCTTGAACATAAAAAAACTCATTGACTTTACGCCAGTATGTTCTAAGTCTATGAAACAACAATAACTTTGAATTTGTTTACGTCGTATTTTCTCTAATAATTTTATCAAAAAGGCTAGTTTTCTACCTGCGCTGTGCCATAAAGATGAGCAGTGAGCGAGAAAAGCCCACTAATAGAATTGCGTCATTTTCGTCTTCCCGCATAGCGTAGCTCTGGTAGATAGAACTAAACGGAGCGAGGTCTTTAAACCTAAGACGCATAGGAGGAGGTGGGGGGAGGGGCGGACACAGGAGCTAAGCTCATGCTTAGCTCTTGTCCCCGCCTTCATGTACGAAAGGTGTTGTGGGCTAAACTTCTATTAACTCGTTGTCCTCTCAATCTCACAACTCAACTTCCTCCCAAAGCTTTTTACGAGAGGGTTACTGTTTCATTGTTCCCGTTCGTTTTCTCATACAACTTAGGTGGAAATCAAATCCATCTTTTTTTAACAACTTCTTGTCCACCTGATGGCAAGTGGCTATTGTAGTCCAGGGATACCTGCAGCTAACTTCAAACAAGGAAGGATACATGCGTTATCACTTGAGGACTAAAATGGAATGCCTAACAGCCTTTGATTATACTGTGGCTCTCTGTATATATACGTATATATTATGAAGTTTCAGTAGGATACTGGTCGAACTTGGAAGTTTGAACTCAAAAACTTAATTTAACATCCCAGCAGAAACGAAAATATTTGAAGTCGACAGTAGTTGGATATCATCATCATAGCAATCCTTCACAAATCCGCTGCTAAACATAGGCCTCTCCCAAGAAATGCCACAAACACGGTCATGAGCAACTGCATCCACCGACTTCCTGCATCCATTACCAGGTCTTCACTCCATCTAGTGGTAACCGTACCGGTAGGCGAAGTGAAGGGCGCTCCCCAATTAATGGTATAGTTAGTTAACAGAGATATTGATAATAAAATTAGTGTTCTTATTTATCTAATACTACCCCTTCCTAATAAGCCTATTTAACTTATCATTATAGCTATTTGCTTATTTGCTATTTGGTTCCAGAAATATGTCAAAGGATGGATACCTATTCAGATAGAAACCTAGGCAGAATAGAAATCCTCTCACTTAGTAAATCTTCCGTCTTTGATTATTAGGATGACTTGAAGAATAACACAAAATTCTTTAATCTTCCGATAGATGGCGTTATAATCATCTCATTTACCTCAGACGAAAAATAGCCAGACCAGTGTTGGGCAACAGTGTTAAATATGCAAAACGTCTGGAAGTCTTCCTTAATACGATAGAGTCTCACGCCAATCAGTGGTTTTCACGAGACGATAAAGATAAAAAATCAAAGATCATAGTATAAACTGCTTGTTATTATGTACTTAAAGTGTTTTAATATCTTAGTAAAGAACTCTTTCGGAGATTCACAAAATTGAGCCATTTTACTCAAGTAAATCCACCTGACGATAATTGGATACTGCGGCCCATAGAAACCTACATCAACCCACATATTTGATCAAGAATCAAAATGCACACGCGGTATTTAAGATGGAATGCTTAAGTATACAAATCACATTTAACGCTGGTATTTTGTGATAACATGGCACTTTTTTTGTCGAGCAGACTCGAAGTTATAGTGATGAAAGTATACACACAAACACAAAGACTTTTTTATACCACCTGATGGTAATTAGATACTGTGGCTCGTGGATATCTACATCAATGCTCATTCAAATCAAAATGCAGATGCGTTGCCACCCCTGAGGACTAAGATGGAATACCTCGTTTCCAGTAAAAAGAATCTCCTGTTCTCTACACTTATCAAACTAAACACAGCAGCTGCTATTTTACGCTGTTATTCTGTGAGAGCGTGGTTTTTCCTCGATCGAGGCGAATCATTTGTGCTATAACCATAATGTCGCCTCTACACGTTGGCCAACACAGTGGCGAACGGAGTGGCGAATATATTGGCCGAGAGTTGGTGACGACGTCCACACGTTGGAAGGTCGTTCAGTTTACTTCGGTTCGGGCCAATGTGCGGACGAATTTACAAGCACCGTGGCGCAGTGGCTCAGCAATGAGTGGCTACACCGGGCGCCGCGGGTTTGATCCCGCACGGAAAAAGTATTTGTATGTCCTAAAAATAATTGTTTGGGGTCTGGATGTGTGTCCTTGTTCAATTTATGTTTGTAAACTGCCTGCGCGATACGGGAGAAAATCCTAGTGTGGGGTTAACGTTTTTATAAAAGAATTATAAAATAATAGTGGATATTAATGGGGTTGTAAATAGATATACGATATACGATTAGCTTTATTTATTCTTTACATGCATCATAAACTGGAATAAATACCATTAATAAGAACTTAACTTATTTTAAAGTTAAAGGAGTTATAATCGATTAGTCTATGTTTTAAAATTGGGTTTTGATTCTAAAGTTTAGCAAAATATGTACTTGCATTTCTATCAGACATTTGATGTATTAAAACACCTTATAATTTATTTGGTAATTTATTTATTTTTTGAGAAAGACAAAAACAATATCAATAAATATATTGAATAAAACTAAATTTACGGATTTTATTGCGTTTATTTTACTAATTTTACTTATTTTTAATTCCCGACGTTTCGGGTGCTTTACAGCAACCATGGTCACGGGGGGGGACTGAGATGTTTGACGTCCCAATGTCATAGTTAGTCCGGCTACCTTCAGTTTTTGAATATTAATTTTTGGTCCGATTTACGATAATATAATTAACACTGACTTAATAATAGGTACTAATTATAACTTAGAACATAAATGAAAAACTCATGACGAGCAAAGTGGCTCAGGACCATGCTTTGCGGCAGTCTGTGGAGGAAGATGTTCAGTAGTGGACTTGTGAAGAGCTGTAATGATGATGATGATTCGAAAACTTGCACGATTAAATTATAAGAAATCGACGCTTTTTTATATAGGATAGGGTGACAAACGAGCACACAGTTCACCTGATGGTAAGTGGTTGCTGTGGCCCACAGACATCTACGTCTATCTTCGATTATGAATCAAAATTTGCAAAATGCAGATGCGTTGTCACCCGTGAGGACTAAGATGAAATGCCTCGTTTTGTTTAAAAAGTGTCTCTGGTTCTCTACACTCACTATACGAAACACAGCATCATTAAGCTACTATTTTACATTGATATTCTGTGAGAGCGTGGTCCTTCCCCGGTCGAACCGACCCATTCGTGCTACAACTATACTTCTAATATAACTGCATGGTTCCACCACGTATAAACGACGTGCTTCATTTTTTTTTTGATTTTAAAATTGTTCTCGTAATAATCTGATTGCAAATAAATGTTCATTATTTTTTTTTTATAAATAGCTTATCGATTAAAACAAATGTTTAAAAATAAATAAATCGCGCGAATTAAAGTAGTAGGAATGTTTAAAGTGGAAATTGGCACTAAAAGCCTGGTAATTGGGTCATCCACCCTACAAAGCGTGAATATAATATTTCAATCATATGCGTGTAATCACTCTGGGAGTTTGTAGCATACTAAACTCGCGACCAACGTGTGGACGCGGCGACCAAACTCTGCCAACAATCCTTTGATCTTTTGTAAAAAACCGACACCACACGGATCTTGCGTCAACTTGCGGGCCAGCGTTCCAATGCATACCAATGAAGCCCAAACACCCCGTCTACACGTTCGCCAATGCTATTGGCCACTACATTCGCCACTGTGTTGGCCAACGTGTAGAGGCGCCGTAATATAGTTGCAGCATGGCTCTACCACGCAATACTCGATCAATTCAGTTTTAGTTTAGCTTTGCAGTTTCCATTGTCATGTATATGTAATACAATGGGAACCAGTGTCAAACACCAGCTTAATAGCAAAAATTTATAGATTTTTCTGGTATTGTAATTCCTTCTAACTGCTATTCAAGTATTAGATTCTAAAAGTATTATCAATAGCAATAACCTGATACAAACTATTATCTAGTGTTCTCTCAGAGGTCGAATGTCAGTAGGCAGAGTAGGAAAAAATAACGAGTACCAATTCTCTTTGATTATGCTTTGACCGAAATTATTCTCGTATTCACGATTTCTGATTTAGTAGATGACAATCTATACCAGCAAGAGTAAGACTATTAAGCTTCATTATTTTTATTCTAATCACAAAGTTAAGAGAATATTTTAAGATCGATTCTAATTCAAAGTTCGCGTGCCAACAGCTATGTTAGAACATCATTACACTAAATCTATTCGGCATGTATATAGTATAATTAACCTCAGAGAGGCCGCTATCTTTTATTACACACTCGTTAACCGAAGCTTAATTTGTTACAATACAATAGCGTAATTTCGTGTATGAAAATTGACTTTTTATATCACACAAGCGGCTGCCGTTGATTTCGTAATTAGTTGATAAATGCAATCAACTAATAAGGCACGTGTTAAAACTGTTTCAAGCCATCAATCTGTCGGCACGTGTAGATAATTATCTTGGCCGTACTCATTAAAAAAGAAAACTAGAAAAGACTTGAGCTTTTATTACAGGACGCTCTGCAAAATGTTACTGCAGCTTATGGATAACTACTTTTAACTCTCACAAAGAAGGCTGTAGGTAAGTTGTCATCCTCAAACTGGCATAGTGTTTGCGGTGATCTATCCATGTCATCGTGATTATATCGGATGTAATGCTGATCACACTCAAACCAATACCACACAATCAAACTCCACAAACTCAAATTTAAGAGCGTTTACTTGCATTGAATATATGCTTAACAATGGTGCTACATATTTAAAATAATGTCCTAAATATATATATATATATATATATATATATATATATAAAAGTTTGTATTACTACCATAATAATTTTACATGTCAGAATAATGCGAATTAATATTCATAATTAATTATACGTGGTGGAGCCATGCTGTAGCTACTAGTATATTATGATCATAGCAGGGATGACTGGCTCGAAGGACCACGCTCTCACTGAAAACCAGCGTAAA